CACAGCCAATGACAGTGGCCAGTGAACGAGACCTAGAAACCAGCCTTTCGTGAGTGTCAGGGGACGGGGAGCAGCGGGACCCTGCATCTCTGAAGCTGAGGTGAATATAGTTCCTCTTTAAAATGAAAAAATGCAGTATATATGAGAGGGTATATGAAATGTACACAAAAGCCCAGACCAAACCCACCTACAAAAATGAGTGGACAGAAAAAGATCAGAAATTTCAAACTACTATTTCCCATAGTATAGATGATGATTCACATATGCAAGTGTGAGAAGGCAAAATAAAGGTAGAAAGAGCTACAGAAAGTACACGACACAGCAAATCTTTTTTTTTTTTAATCCAAACAACTTTTATTGTCAAGATAATAGAGAAAATGAAACAGTACTTACAGAATCCAGAATTACATTACTGCAACAACAGGATTACACATAAATAGAACAACGTGGATATGCAGATCCTGTAATAAACAGAATTACAGAAATGGTAATCAAACAAAACAGAGACCACAAGGATCCAAAACTTTCTTGACAATATCTTGCTTTTTCCTTTTTACATCTTATTCCTTCCCGACCAGATGTAAACAGAAATGGAGGAAAAGAACAAAGCCCAAAACATGTCTTCAAACAAAAAAAAAAAAAACACATCAACAACAACCTCTGGTTCACCCAAGACGTCTCATCAAAAAGAATGGGAGTTGCACATGAATTCCCCAGGGTAAGGAGTGGAGCCACACACCTGATATAAAATATCACAGCTGCAGAAGTCGGTCCACTATCAATTGCAGAGGAGCAAACCCAGGTGTATCCAGCCAACCCTGCCATACCTGCTTGAACTTACGATAAGCATTGCGATGTTGGTACATGAGTTTCTCCTGTGGGAGTAAAGACTTAACATAATCTACCCATTGCTTACTAGAAGCCAATGATAACCAGTACCTTGCTATCAACTTCCTAGACAGATATAAAAGTCCAGTGCCCCCAACAGACAATGCAAAGGATCCTGGGGAACAGTATATGGCGATACTAGAGAAATAAGTTGGATAAGCTCACTCCAATATCTATGTAACTTGGGGCAATGCCAGAGCGTATGAATTAAATCACCCTGTTGGACCCTACACCTCGGACTATCACGTGAATCCCGCTTGCCACACCGATACAGTTGCGCAGAGGTCCCATACACTCAATGGAGAATAAACAAATGAGACAATTTATGAGAGGTAGAAAGAGAAATTCCCGGAACAGATTGCAGGGCATCATCCCAGACATCTCCAACAAACTCTCAATATTCTGGGACCACTGCGGAGACTAGCTTGATCCTGTACTGTAGACAATAACTGGGAGTATACCCGAGAAATCATACCCTTCTTATGAGTGACATCCTTAAGAAAAACTGTCTGTCAATGTGAGATTAGAGAGCGAAGACTGAGCCTGTATCGCATGGTGTAGCTGAAGATAAAGATAAAAATGTAAATTCCATTTGCAGTTGAGAAAAGGACTTTAGGATTGCCCCCAAATACAGCTGATATACAAATTTCAGGCCTTGATCCATGCAGTCGTGAAAAACCTACAGTTTGGCCAGTTCTACATATTGCGGATTATTCCACAAGGGAGTACAGGAAAGAAAGCCGGTAATATGAAAAGATGCTTTTACCGTACTCCAGATGCACCTCAAGAGGTCTGCAGGTGGAGCCGTGGATGGAAGGGCCGGTAGAGCCACCTCAAGATGAGAAAGAAACGAAATGGTGGGATCAGGAAGGGAAATCAAACTAATAATGGGATCAATATTATCAGGCGAATCTCAGCCAACCAGTTGCTGCAATTAGGTCGCCAGAAAATAAAGTTTGGGTTCAGGAACCGCCAACCCTCCCCTCCTCCGACTCCTTGCCATATTGCAATTTTGCAACGTAAAAAATGTTATGCTAGCCACTTGTTTTTTATAAATAAGACTCCTAAACTGGGTCTCTATGCGATGACACCATTTCTTAGGAATCCATATGGGAGAATTATGAAAAATATAAAGAAGTTGTGGGGCCCAAATCATTTTAATTAAATTGACCCTACCCACCACCGACAGAGGGATTTTGCACCAACTGTTACACTTCAATTTCTGCTGATGGAGTAGAGGTAAAAGGTTAAGAGATATACTGCTTAGGATCAGGAGAGACTACCACCCCCAAATACTTAAATGAAGACATTACTTGGATGTGTTGTGCACATAGCCCGAGAGGGGGAGTTCTACAGCATCAACACAGATTTATGCCAATTAATTTTAAAGCCGGAAAATCCACCAACGCGTTCAATAAGGGACATAACAGCATCTAAGGATGTGGAAGTATCGCCCAAATATAACAGTGTGTCATCCACATAAAGGGATATATTTTCTGAAAGAACACCCCTTGTAAAACAGAAAATCGCTAAAGGTTGTAACGCCAAAGCGAACAAAAGGGGCGAGAGAGGACAGGCCTGCCTCATTCCCCTCTGCAGCCTGAATGAATCTGACAAATAATCCGGATTCAGGCACTAGGAGCCGCATAGAGAAGGTGCACCGAGCTAATGAACTTGGGACCAAAGCCGAATCTTGACAATACTTCCCATAGATAAGGCCATTCCACACTCTCAAATGCCTTGGTCGCATCCAAAGACAAAATTGCTCTCCCCCCAGTATTGTTCACCGGAATTTGCAAATGCAAAAATAGTCTACGAATATTATCAGTCGTCGCTCTAGAAGGAATAAACCCTGACTGATCTTTATGTACAATATTACCAATAATCCACACCAGTCTAGTAGCTAGAACCTGGGCCAACAATTTAGCATCCTTATTCAGAAGGGAAATAGGTCGGTAGGAGTCAGGTTTTAATTGATCTTTTCCAGGCTTCAATAATACTATAATAACAGCTTCATTCATGGAGGGGGGCAAACCATTTCCATCCATGGCAACATTCAAGGCATTGAGTAATGCCAGGAGGAGTTGCGCATCATATCTATTATAGATTTTGAATGGCAATCCATCTGCACCCAGAGATTTATTACTGGGTTGCCTGCCAAAGCTTCAGATAACTCCTTAACAGTAATGGCATTTCCTGTTCCCTCTGGTCAGTCTCCAATAAAACAAGAAAGGAAAAGTAAGCACTGATTCATAAAGGGCTTGTGCCTCTTTCCAGGAGGTGCAGTTACAGGGGCTTGGGTCTTGGATCATCTGAACCTCCTGCTGTCTAGAAACTGCAAAAGCTCAGAATGGGTAGTTATAGTTTTAGAAGCATACAGATCATCATAAAAGTGATGAAAAACTCTCAGGATTTCCGCATGACTCGTGCAGATCACTCCATCAGCATCCTCAATCTTGTCTATAGTGGACACCCCTTGTTGTGACTTCGCCACAAGAGCAAGAAGGTGCCTACTTTCCCCTTCCTCAAAGTATATTTGTTGCAAAAAATATTGCTTCTTATCTGCCACTTGAGTAAGCACTGATCCATAAAGGGCTTGGGCCTCTTTCCAGGAGGTGCGATTACAGGGGCTTGGGTCTTGGATCATATAAACATCTAACCGTACCTTTTCCTCCCACTCCCAGGATCTACGCTTAACTGCTGAAATCTCCCAGATAATAAAGCCCCGCAGGAAGGCCTTCATCACATCCCAAAACATTCTTGCCGGGGAAAAGTCATTCCGTTGCATAAAGTCTGACAACTCCCCTGGAATCAACTCAGACTCCGGAAACAGTGTCAACCAAAATGGGTTCACCTTCCACAGTGGACGAGAGTGGGTATAACACACCTGTAGCTTGACCCAGCAAGGGGCATGGTAAGATAGAGCCCTGAGTTCATACGCAGCATCAAACACATATGGCAGGATAGTCATGTTCCCAAGGCCCAAATCAATGTGTGAAAGCCCATCATGAGTAGCAGAAAAACCTGAATAACATTTTGCTGTTGGATACTTCATCCACTACACATCCCGGGGGCCAGTTCCACCAATAAATTAGCAAATGGTGTAGGCTGAGAGGATAATTCTCTGCCCCTACTGCCCACAGGCAATCTATCCAAACTAGGGAGTAAGCAATTGTTAAAATCACCCAACGCCAATAGGGGAACATCAGGATGATAGGCCATAAATTGAGTTAGTCGTTTAATTAAGAGTCGGGCGGAGGGATATATTCCACATCCACTATTTAGCGAAACCTATTTAAAGTACACAGTAGGAAAATATACCTGCCCTTCGCATCAATCCACTCCTGCATATGAACAAATTAAATAGAGTTAGAGATGAGGATACACACACCTCTAGAAAACGTGGAGTGGAAAGAATGATATTGTATGGGAAATAAACAAGAGCGGAGGGTACCGACAGTGACAGATTGTAAATGGGGTTCTTGAAAACATATTACAGACTGTTTTAAATGTTTAACTACTTCCAGTCCGGACACTTTTACCCCCTTCCTGTCCAGGCCAATTTTCAGCTTCCAGTGCTATCACACTTTGAATGACAATTGCGCGGTCATGCAACACTGTACCCATATGAATTTTTTAGCATTTTTTGAGACAGATAAAGCTTTATTTTGGTGGTATTTATTCACCACTGGGATTTTTATTTTTTTTGCTATGTAAATTAAAAAGTCCAAAAATTTTGAAAAAAAGTTTTTTCTTATAACACTTTCCAAATAAATAGTATTTCATGATAAATCTTGGCCAAAATGTATTCCGTTTTATTTTTAGTAAAAAAAAAATAACCCAAATTAGTTTATAACCAAAAATTATAATTTTAAAACTTTTTTTACATTTTTTTTTTTTTTTGTTTTATATTATTTTTTATTTATTTATTTTTTTACATACTGTCACCCTAGCAGTACAGTGTCACCATGGTGACACTGTACTACTTGTGGGGGGTGATGAAGATTTTTTTTTTTACACTGATTGCTTTTACACCTATAAAGGATGTAAAAGCAATAATTTCTCCTTCTCTCTAGCTGCAGCAATTGAGAACTGAGTGAGCTGTGATTGGTCACAGCTTGTCACATGGTACATGGCTGTTGTGAATAGCTTCGTACCATGTGACCTCTGTGATCATTCACAGATGTCACACGTAAAACGTAGTAAGCAATGATGTCACAAGTGACATCTTGCTTACTACTCTGCATGTGATCACTGATTGGCCAATCAGTGATCACATGATCGGGACCTCATACAGAGGTCCTGTCCGATGATCGGTGTTCCACTGTGCCCGGAGGACACAGCGGGCACCGGATTGCGGTGCTGCATGCTCCCAGGGAGCGCGCACAAGCAGGGTGCGGGGAGGCCGTTTATAAACGGCCACCCGACCCTGCACTGCCACCGTCCGGCCGTTTATATACAACGGCCGGACGGGAGGTGGTTAAGCATATGGAAGACAGCACCCTGTTTAGTTTTGTCTCCCAGGCCCCTTACATTCCAGGATAAAAACATCAATTCTTTATAGGAGACAGACATAATACACATGTATTAAATGGAAAGGATAACAAAATCGCGGACAGATATAACATCCCCCGAAGGGAGCAATGAGCGGGTAGGCAGTAGGAGGGGCCCAGATCACATGGGTCAGGGTGACCAGGAGGACAGCTGCAGGGAGCAGGGAAGATAAACCCAGCAACATGCACTCCGCTAAACACAGACATCCCAGGTGACTCATAAACAAAACAAGGGGGAATACTGAAATTATTACCAACATGTAGGCCAACAGAGCCATACAAATATTAACTGAAGACACTGGCAAGAGGTCAAAAGGTCCCCTCAGGACCAAAAACAGGTTGGGGTTTGTCTCATAGACAAGCACACAGCAGGTAAATGTAAGGTTAGCCCAAGAGGGGAGGAGCCCCAACTTAAGCGGGAAAAAAATCCAATACAAAAAGGGAAGGAAATGTGAGAGCAATACCCCGCTGTCTGCTAAGCTGAGTTTAAGGCACTAAGGATCAACCAGGTCCCCAAGGTCAGGTTCCAGGGGAGTTTGCCAGGTGATGTTCCACTCCATCCAACCACTGCAAGGCTGCATTAGGATTATCAAAAAAGTGAGAAGCGTCATCTGCAAGCACGCAAAGTTTAGTCGGATATAGCATGGCATATTGAAGGCCCAATGCCCAAAGACGTTTCTTGAAATCCAGGAATTTTGCTCATTGATTTTGAACTTCCACGGAAAAATCTGGAAATAAGGATACTTGAGCATTGTCAACTGGCAGGTTTCCCTTGCTTCTGGCCCTGGAGAGAATGGTATATCCAACCTCTGAGGAAGAGGTTGTGTCCTCGAAACGCGTTAGCCAGTTGGTCATCCAGGCTTCCATCGTATGGACTCAGATGTTGTTTGGATCATATATCTTGTTCAGTTTGACATGCCTGTGTTAATATGTCCATTGTGAGTATGATACCTATTTTTGTTTCTTCAATAAATTATTTTAAACAATAATGCACTAGGTTGGTGCGCCCTTTTTCTGTTTCTCCTTTTGTATCCAGAATGGTATCTCTGCCCCGATAACCGAGGAGTCTGAACAAAAAGGGTCAAGGAGGAGCGCCGACCGGAGGAGCATGTGCTGGGACTCCATGTGCACGTTCCACTGCAAACATGGGGGAAAGCACATATCGCATGTCCCTATGTAATGGTTGCCAATCATCTTCCAGGGTACTCACTTTCCAAGGCCGCAGTGCGATCCCACATTTTATGCATATCTTGACGCACCAGGGTCAATTCCATCCTCATCCCCTTCACCTCCCCAGTAAGGACCGTCACAGATGAGGTGCATGTAGTGACTGCAGAGAGAATTTATCTAAGGGTGGGTTCAGGATGATCTGCAATGGAAACAGCAGGCTGTGTCCCATGAGACTGGGATGGAGGAATACTCTCTGCAGGCGTGCAGGATGGGATCTCTCGGTCTGCCAGTGCAAGAGGGATCTGTGTACAGCCTGTACAGTCTAAGTCCAGAGCAGTAGCAGAGTCCAAAAGTAGTTTCTAGGAGGTTTCCATGGTGAGCTGCCTGGCAAAGAACTTTTGAGCAGCCTCCCTCTGCTTCTCCTTGGATGCACAGATCGGGTTACTGCCATCTTGCTCAGCCGACTCAGGCAAGGCCCGAGTTTCTTTACCCTTTTAGCCATCTCAGATCAGGATAATCAGGGCACCAAGTGAGAGCAGGGGGGTCACAGCACACCGTGGGGACCCGAGATACCGTAGTAGCCAAAGAACGAGGAGAACGAGGATGCAGAGCTCACTGAGCACACTTTCTACTGCATGCAAAGCTGGCCACTCCCCAACACAGCAAATCTTAGCAATAAACTGACCTTTATTAAAATGCTATGCCAGACTAAACTAATAAAATGTCAGCACATACACAATGTAAGACCAACCTTGGAAATAGCATAATGCTTGAAAGCTTTAGGAGCAGAAATGAAAGACTCTCATATAGCAGCACTGCTACTTAGTGGTTTCCCTGACAGCTATCAGACACTTGTTGGAGCACATGTTTAGCCTGAAAAGTGTTCAAAACAAGGTTATTGTTGCATATAAGCAAATAATAGAAATCGCAGCAAATACTTAATAGAAAATCCTCCTACTAAGAACCAATGACTTCAGCAATATTAATATTCTCTTTGGAACAATTTCATTTTTTGTATGCAAAAAGGCAGGACAATTAAAGGCAAAGCTGGGTACACATGGATTGAAATTCAAGCAGTTCAGCAGGAACAGGCTGAATTTTGATCTGTGTGTAGCCCTCTCTATTCAACAGAAGCCAATCGTTACACTGGTTTCTGTCAATCAGTCCTGCTAGAAAGCATTTGATCAGGCACTGCAGCCAATGACTGCAGCACCAATCACTATATTCTTAGGATGAGATCCAGCTGTCAGAATATAATGGCACAGGGATGTGGATGCAGGGATCTGTGAGTTTTTGTTTTCATTGAGCCCACTCATTAAATGAACAAAACTTACAGAGTGTACCCAACTTTACTGGACAGCATATCGTCTTAGAAGAGATAGGACTATACCGGTCACTAGCTAGCTGAACATCAGCATGCCAGTAGCGTAAAAATTGACCCATGAAGTCAAATAATGAAGTGTACCAGTAAAGAAAAAAAACCACCAGAAAATATTTTTCAAAAATAACATTAGTAGAGCACCTGGATGTAATTAAGTCATCTCTATGTGGTCTTTTAAAAAAGAAAAATTATTTTCTCACATTCATTGATGACTTTTCAAGGTATATTGTACTCTACTTGTTAAAAAGCAAAGATGAAGGAGTGCGCATGCGCGGCCGGCGGGACGGACATGTTCCGCTGAGGCTCCGTCTCCCCGTCGGATGACAGCGCCACAAAGCAGCGGGTCCCGGCCCGCAACATATCACAGGCAACCCGCCCAGGGACCGATCCGCCTTGGTCTGCGGCGGATCCCTTGCAGTAGGTCGTAGTAATCCGACGGGACACATGTCCCAGAGACGAGCGCCGCACAGGCCCGCCCACCACAGCCCATACTGAACCTGGGCAGGAGAGAGAGAAAAGGGGGGCTGAGAACACCATAACAGCCCCCCCCACTGACAGGCAACAAAACGGTTAAGGGGGCACCCCGGCACCAAGGTCCCCCCTTCTACACAAAATCAATCAAGGAGGCCCTGGCAAAGGCCTCCACAAAGATGGCCACCGCCCCAGCACATGGAAGCAAGAAGGGGACAAGTGCATATGCAGCCCTACAGGATCCGCAGCCCATCCATCCCTGCACGTCTGAGGGTGAGTCTGACACTGAAACAGATGCCCCTACACAAGCCCTGACGCCTGACCTTACAATCCCTGACCTGTTAACCCGCTTTGAACAAATGCTACACAAAGCTTTGAAGCAAACCTCGGACCGCATCACTGCTACGCTATCTAGGGAAATCCGTGAACTGGGGCAACGCACTGCAGACCTAGAGCAGAGGGTAGATGGTCTTGATGCCACGCTTCAGACACATACGAATGACCTTGACCTTCTGCGCGACGAAAACGCAACACTATTGACACGACTGGAGGACTTTGAAAACCGGGCACGACGCTCAAATCTGCATATTCGTGGTCTCCCGGAAACGATCGCCGATCTCCAATCAACAGTAACTGCTCTGTTCCAAGAGCTTGCCCCAGCTATCCCAATCGAAAGATTGGAATTGGATAGAGTACACAGGGCATTAGCGCTACGACGCACGGATGGTCCACCGCGTGACATTATAGCCAAGCTCCACTTTTTCCGCACTAAGGAGTAACTATTACAAGTTGCACGTAACGCAGAATCTCTACAGTTCCAAGGTCATTCATACCAGTTATTTCAAGATTTGAGCCCCACAACAATCACCAAGCGCAAGGCTATGAAACCCCACCTACAAGTACTTCAACAACACGTTATACCGTATCAGTGGAGCTTCCCCTTTGCAGTGCGATTCCATTACCAATCCCGGGATTACACCTGTAAGACTCCAGAAGACCTACTAGACACCCTGCGGATCTTACAATTGCATTCCTCAGCGATGCCTTCAGAAAGCACCAAGCGGAGGTCCACATCCTGCTCACCGCGGAAGTCCCTCCCCACGCGTGCCACTGCAGGCCCACTCAATCTCCACAAACGAGCCGCTTTTCATCTCCGGGTCTATCTTCACAAGACACCATGGACTGAACTGTGTCTCATGTTTATCCTTCTTCTCTCCACTTTATTTTGGCCACACACACCAAATGGTGTATGCCTTTGACTGTCATTACATTACTGTTGTTGCGGTTAATACCGTCAATGTCCTTTCTCCCTTTATCTGTTAAATTTTGGTTGTCCCATCACCTGGGAATTGTTCGGCTCCTCCCCTCTTCAGAGCCCCACTCTAGGTCAGTTTGTTTGGGAAACTAGGCTCTGACGGCATGTGACGCCACACCCCTTCCCCTATGATGTCTCACTGATACTGCTAATGCCGTCTGAGTTTGGGATAGCGTGATCTCTATGAATGTATTTTCTTTATGTACCTGTTTTTTTTTTTTTTTTTCTACCGGGACCTTGCTACCTTCTCTCAATCAAGTTGCTGTCATCCTCACGGACCGTGTACCTGCACACTCCAACCTAGCCCCTGCGTTATTGGCTATTTAATAACGCTTGGGCTACTATTGTTCCCTAGCCCACCCTGACTCAGGGAGTCCTTGGGAACCCATCTTTTAGGCCTTACATGGCCTCATA